AGAAAACCTTTATGCTTTGAGTTCTCTCATTTTTGTTTCTCTTAAACTATAATTAGGCTTTATCACCAAGCACTTAAGAAAATTTCAGGAAGAGAATTATAAAATGAAATGTAGGCCATAGTAATATATTCAAAAGAACAACTACTAAGGTTTTCAAACACATTAACTGTTGCTTTGATTTTTAAAAAAATATATCCATATGAAAAAGAAATGTTCACTCTGGTTGAATGCTAGCTACAAGTAGTAAATACTTTAAAGCATAACCATATGCAGGAAATTTCTTAGATCACACACAATCAAGAACTTTCATCTTTGCAGTATTTGCAATGACTGTCATTAAAATAAGAGTTCTTCCCTTTCATCTAAAGAGTTTTCTTTTTAAGTTTTACTGTGGTAAGAAATTTAAGAAAAAATTATAAGGAAACCAATTATGTAAGAAGACAAAGTGTCCCTCAGAAACCTTAAGAACAACCCAACAGTGAAATGGTGAAACATGTAAGAATAAAAGAGAAATCCTAAAAACTTTAAAAAGAGTGTTATTTAAAATATATACAGGGGCACCTGGGTGGCTCAGTCGGAGGAGCATCTGACCTTGGCTCAGGTCATGATCTCACAGTTTGTGAGTTCAAGCCCCACATCTGGCTCTCTGCTGGCTCTGTGCAGAGCCCGCTTCAGATCCTATCTCACCCTGCCCACACCTCTGCCCCTCCTCCACTTATGCTTTCCCCAAAATACATAAATCTAAAAAAAATACACACACACACACACACACATACCTCTAAATGTAAAACCCCTGAATAAAAAATTAAGTATAATATTTACTGGTCTAAATCAAAAGTCAGGTTGTAATTAATATACAAGGAGAGCCTAGATAACCCACAGCATCTTTGAAAATATCTGAGCTCTCTTGTTCAATAAGACTTCTTAATTATAACACCATAAAATCCAAATAAGACAGAGAAAAAAATGTCTTTAAGATGTTCTATGGATTGAAAATTCTACATATAAATATTTCAACACTAGAAACTATGCTCACCGAAAATATTTCAAAGGCATTTGTGCCTATAATTCAACGTGAAATTAAAATCAAAAAAGTAAAACCAAAACAATCTTATGAAGCCCAGTAACTTAACCCTTAAAGCCAATTCACTTTTACAGACCTAGTTTAGGAACAGTAGAAAAACAATGTGCAAAGGGGACCTGATTCAAATGTCACTACTGGGAGAAAGGAAGGAAAGAGCCATCATGTGCAGTATACCTCTAGAAAAACATCTTAATAAAAACGAACAGAAGTTGCTCTAAAGACAAAAAGAAGGGTGGCACAGATGTCTATTTAATCAAGAGATTATATAGCTGGGCCACAAAAAACAATAAGGCTTAAGCAAAAAGAATCAATATAGAACCTCAGGCTATAGCCAAAAAATAGTGTTTTATGAAAGAGTTTTAAAAGGACAAGACAAAGTACACTACAGCCGTAAGGCCTACATCTAACCAATCAAAACTTCCCATTCTACATCCCAAAGAATTCTGAAATTTATTCACTTCTTATCTCTTTGCCAATTCCTAACCCATGCTACTATTATCTCTTCATCTTTTCCCCAGCTAACTGCATCAGATTCCTAACTGAACTCCCTTTCAGAGACTGAAAAAGTAATAATCATTTTAAAAGTCCTTTATCTTTTTTCAAGTTTCTTCATCCATTCTGAAAAAGAGAGAGAGAGAGAGAGAGAGAAAGAGCACAGCATGGAGGGGGCAAGGGGTGGAGAAAAAGAATCCCAAGCAGGCTCTATGTTGTCAGCACAGAGCCCAAGACAGGACTTGAACCCTCGAACCGCGAAACTATGACCTGAGCTGGAATCAAGAATTGGGTGCTTAAACAATTGAGCCCCCAGGTGCCCCAAAAATCCTTTATAGGGGCGCTTGGGTGGCTCAGTTGGTTAAGCGTCTGACTTTGGCTCAGGTCATGATCCCACAGTTCGTGGGTTTGAGCCGTACATTGGGCTCTGTGCTGACAGCTAGCTCAGAGCCTGGAGCCTGTCTTTGGATTCTGTATCTCCCTCTCTCTCTGACCCTCCCCTGCTCATGCTGTCTCGGTCTCTCTCTCTGTCTCTCTCTCCCCCTCTCTCAAAAATAAATAAAAAACATTTAAAAAATGTTTTTAATCCTTTATAATCTTACTTTCAACCACCACGAGTTACTCTCCCACTCACGGGACTTAGCCACACTGGCCTCTGAAGTCCCCTTACAAACTCTGTCCTGCCTCAAAAGCTTTAAGTGTGTCCTCTTCCTCAAATACTCTTCCCCCAATGCTTGCTCACTGATTCCTACTTAATCTTCAGCTTAAATATCTCCTTCAGGGAAGATCCTCTGACCCACGAGACTAGGTTAAAATCCTGCATTCTTGGGGCACCTGGGTGGCTCAGTCGGTTGAGCGTCTGACTTCGGCTCAGGTCATGATCTCACGGTTCGTGGGTTCGAGCCCTGTGTCAGGCTCTGTGCTGACTGCCAGCTCAGAGCCTGGAGCCGGTTTCAGATTCTGTATCTCCCTCTCTCTCTGACCCTCCCCGCTCATGCTGTCTCTCTCTCTCTCTCTCTCTCAGAAATAAATACAACATTAAAAAAATTTTTTTTAAAAATCCGCCATTCTTATATGTATCACTAGTGACAGTTATGATAAAATAACTTTTACTGTCTTGTTCTACCAAAAGACTACATGTTCCATAAAGCTTGGGATTGTATCTGATTGTTTACCATTTTCTATCTAGCACCATGCAGAGTAACCAAGTGATAAGAGATGTTCAACAAAAACCTGTTCAATGCATGAATACTTTCTCATTAAAAATGGATAGCTGTTTAAAAACAAGTGGAAATTTGGGCACAAGAACAGTTTTCTGTGCAAGAACAGTGACTCCTTTAACACAAAACATAATCTATCCCTCCATGGATTTTTTATTGTTTGTACATTTTTGTTTTGTTTTAAAGCAGAAAGAAAGGGAGTAAGGATGTGAGTTTCCTGGAGTTTTTATTTTTTTTTAACAGAAAATACCTATAACACAGTGGCTTATAAGCTTTGGTAAAAAAGACGGGATAACATAACTGCCTCTGCTTATTAATAAATACAGTGTACTACATGGCGGTGGTTTTCCTCATGGGGCAAAAGGCAGCTGCAAACTCCAAATAGAAAATTTTTTCACTTTTCTATATCCTCATTTTGGAATAACTTCCAAATGGACTGGAATGAGTTCTCATGTATCTAAATACCCTAACTCCTCATCCATTAAAGAAGGACATAGCAGCAAAACACTTATTTCAACAGACTGGTTCAACAGACACACCTCACAAGTAGAAGCAAGAATGGTGATGCTTTTGTTTGGTATAAGACAAAATGACAATCACAGAAATAGTTATTCTTATCACAAGCCAAATGATAAATATTCTAGAAGAGACCAGTCCACTGATTACCAAAAAACTGCAGTCACACACATACATACAACTTGGGAATCAATCAGACCTTGAGCATAAAACTCCTCTACCACTTAATGGCCATGCTATTTTGGGCATAATTATTTAACCTCATGAATCTCAGTTTCATCATATATAAAATGCAAGCACTATTTCCCAGATCCTAACTAGGATGTCCTTAAAAAAATATACACATAAACATTTTCTAAAATTGGGATGAGACTGATAATTGATGTTAAAAGAAACTGAGTAGTCAAGAAATAATTAGCTTGAGCATGTAGAAATGAGCTGTCAGAAGGTATTTCTTTATCTGATTTCACACCTCAGCTGAGTTATTTACACTGGTGGCAATGTACTCACCTGAACTTTAACTTAATTCAAGCTCTTAAAATATCTTCAAAATGATTCCACTATGATATAGCATTAAAATGAAAAACTACTGCACTCACAAGATTGTATGTCACATACAAGTCACCTGAAATTCCTAATCTCTCAGACTAGACCATATAGAACATTTTCTTTTTTTTTTTTTAATTTTTTTTTTAAATGTTTTATTTATTTCTAGGAGAGACAGAGAGAGACAGCGTGAGCAGGGGAGGGTCAGAGAGAGAGGAAGTCACAGACTGAAACAGGCTCCAGGCTCTGAGCTGGCAGTCAGCATAGAGCCCGATGCGGGGCTCGAACCCACGAACCGTGAGATCATGACCTAAGTGAAAGTCGGACGCTTAACCAGCTAAGCCACCCAGGCGCCCCTAGAACATTTTCAAAAGTAGAAGTTAAAGAAGGTGGTATAACTAATTCATGGAGCCAAATATCTAATGTCAAAATTTCAGATGACCTTCAAGAACACCTGCTTAATTTTCAGAGATATATATACTTTAAAGACAATAAATTTTAAGTTTAACCAAATAGAAACCACCAATGAATTAATTTTCTTTGCTATGTTCATGCAATGACAAAGATGCTAAGGAGATCTAGGTATAGGCTATAAAAGCAACATATCAAGAGAGATTCTGAAAAATCTCAAGACTACCAAATATAAAGGCACAGATTCAAACAGTGATTATGATGCTGAAGAAAGATAAATGTTCATTATTACTAGTTAGTAAAGAGAGAGAGACAGAGAAACAGAGAGAGAGACAGAGAGAGGAGAGGTAGGTACATTTTTCCCCCTGAAAAAAAATACATCTTTCAATCAGGAACACCTTAATGAGTCAAATCCAGTAATACAGGTCTTCAAGCTTTTTGGTGAGAATTCAATGAGATCATAAGTAAAACATTTACCATGGTACATAGCATACACAGTAAGCATTCAATGACTTGTTGTTATTTTTATTACTGATCACAATTTGAAAAAAACACTAATTTAAATAATGACTGACAACAAATTATACCCTCCTGTCCTGACCCCCCTGTCTTCATTCACATGGCCATGATCTAAAATCTGCTCACTTTCACCTTTTATATTATCTTCCTAACCTTTGTAAATATTCAAGTCTCCAATCTTTTAATGTACGCATTTGACTAGTTTTTCTAACCTGGAGTTTCTGAAGAATTGGACAACGGAGCAGACGCTTCAGCTAAGGCAGCTAATGTAGCTAATACTGATGTGGAAGAGTTCCCAAACTGAACAGCTGATACACCTGTTTCATCTACAAGAAAAGAGAAAATCGATTTTTAAGAATTTTAATTTTAAAGGCGCGTAATTCTACTGTATTTTTCTGATATTCTATTTTGCTTTATTCAATTCTTTAATGAAGCTTGGATAATAGTTTTGGGAAAAAACAAGCTCCGATGGCATTAGTTTTTGAAAGATAATATTGCAGTGCATTTTACAATATCATCTTTCATTATTTTGTCTCATAAAAATATTTTTTTGCCAATACCAAAGAAAACCAAGGTGACTGATATACTCTTACCCTCATTCTCCAACAGTCTTTTCATAAAAGGAGGAATACCTACTAAAGCATAACATCCCAACAGCTATCCTATATGCATCTCAATACCTGTTGCCTTGGATGAATTTTCTGAAGATACCAGACCTGTTAGGTTCACCACCCCTCCAGGTCCGATGATAAACTGTGGTGTGGCAGCATGTATCGTCACAGTGTCAGGACTCTCGGGGTTTGTGTTGATTTGGTTCTGCATAGCAATCTAGGGGCCAAATCAACACAGTGTTTTCAGAATTACAACTGGAACATACAGCACAGAATCTCAGTGCAGTAAAAACAGAAAGGAAATGCTAAAATTTAAGAAGAATCCTACAATACAAATGGAAATCTTTGTATACGATCTACCAAGAGTATAGTGGTAAACCAGAGACAGAAATTTACATCCTAATACCCGTTAGGTAAAGCAGTAAAATCCCATGAGCAAAGAAAAGAATATCTGAAAGGCTTTTATAGAACACAGTTGCTATTTTGCTACTCTGTGGCTATAGAAATTACTTAAATTATTTCCTCTACTATATTCAGCAATATATAACACTATACATATAAAGCATGTCCTTCCCAGGGCACTTGTTATGATGAGCACTGGGTGTTGTATGTAAGTGACTGAATCACTGAATTCTACTCTTGAAACCAATATTGCATTGTATGTTAACTAAATAAAATTTAATAAAAATTTGAAGGGAAAAAAATAAATAAAGCATGTCCTTTCCAATTAATTGTTCTTCATCTTTAACTCGGGTCCCCAAATTGCACTCCAAGGAGTAAAAGATTGAAAGAGGCACCACAAAATTCATTCTCCTGAACATATAACATCTTTTCAGTAGAGTCAGAAGGGTGTTAAAGAAAAGTTCTACTGGGAAGGAGAACAAGAAGATAAGCAAGAGGTTGTGAGTAAAGAAGAGAATTTTTATATCAATGTTGTGTAGCTAAAGAAAAGAGGCAATACTGGTTATTAAAAAAAAAATAAAAACTGTCTAGGGGCACCAGGGAGGCTCAGTTGGGTAAGCATCTGACTTTAGTTCAGGTCATGATTGCACAGTTCAGGAGTTCAAGCCCCACATCAGGTTCTTTGCTGACAGCTGAGAGCCTGGAGCCCGCTTCGGATTCTGTGTCTCCCTCTCTCTCTGTCCCTCCCCCATTCATGCTCAGTCTCTCTCTCTCTCTCAAAAATAAATAAACATTAAAAAAATAACTTGCCCAAAAGCCATAAATAATTAGACTCACAGATTTTTTTGAGGATGATGAAAAATAAAAGAAACCAATCAAAATGATAGAGATTGAATCAATTACTCAGGGGGCAATGTTATAGGAACTAAAGAAAATTTTTACTGAAGTTTAACATATTTTGAAAAACCACATGGTATCCAAATATGCAATAAAAATAATTCATAGAATAAAATGTCTAGAACAGAAATTCAGGAACTTAAAAATACAGAAAGTAATCAGCATATTTAATCTTCTAATGTTACATGTAAAGACTATGGTCATACAATCAGAAAGTGAACAAAGAGGAAGTAAAAGAGAAAAGGACTGTCTACAACTAAGTCCAAAATGAAAAGCTAAATGCTAAATAGCTCAAATCACCACAAGACAGAGATCCTTTTATTTTCTCAAATTAAAGCCAAAGATTACCTGTAATATCTCTGCCAAATCTTCATTCCCATTGTCTATTGAAATATCAAATGCAGTTTTACAAAATTTACTTTGTGTGTGTACATCAGCACCATATTTGATTAAAAGTTCCACCACTTCTTGATGATTGTGTTCCGTGGCCCAATGTAGAGCTGTCATCTTCAACATGTCCTTTGCATTAACATCAGCACCATGCTATAAAAATATTGCAAAATAAGATATTTCTACATATGAAATATAAAGAATTCCAAATAGGAAAATAGTAGCCACTATGCTTTAAAACAAGAATCTGCTACTAACATGATCAGCTCTCTATTTTTTGTGTTGAATAATCTGTATCTTCCAAGAATCTCCACATACCTGTCAGTTAATCAGTTTTCTATCATGCTAACATTCCCAATTGTTTTCCTTCTAAATTCATAAGAATGAAGCATTGATTTTTTCACTAACCCAGCAGTAAGCATCACGGGACAGAATGGAATAGGAAGTGAAGGAAAGCATTCCTCCAAAACCCTCTTTAACTCTGGTCCCTTATTTATACAGAAATATTCTCTGCTTTCAAAACCAGCAAAATATAAAAAATTTAAAAGGACCTATCAGGGATGTACTATCCAATATGGTAGCCACTAGACACATGTGGCTATTAAGCACTTGAAATATGGCCAGACCCAATAGGGATATACTATGTATGTAAACACACACTGGAATTCAAAGACTTAACACCAAAAAAAGGATGTAAAACAACTCATTAACAATTTTTATATTGATTTCATGTTGAAATGATAATATTTGTATATATGAAGTTAAATAAAATATACTAAAATTAGTTTTTACTTTTTTTAATGTAAGTAACAGAAAATCTAGAATTAGATGTGATCATATTTGTGGTATTTACAGTGTATGTCTTTTGGATAGGCTGATCTAAAGGCTACAATAAAAATCCTTATTTATATTATTTCTTTGTTAATCATCCAAGCCTTATTATGTTTCCTTCCACAGCATTTTAACTGTGTCAAGTAAGACAAAGCCATAGTCCCTCATCATAGTGGAAACCAAGGTCTAAAAAATCAACTGTCTGACTTAATTAAGAACAAGCCTAGAGGAAGTTCTTTTTCTCCCAAAAAGGAAAGCTTTAAGATAATTTTCATTTGATGGGCTTACATACAAAAAAAAAATGAGATGACATAGAAAAAAAATAGACATTTAATACAACTAGTTCCTTTCTCACTCTTATAAAACCATAAATCCTTCGAAGGCTTACTTTCAAAAGCAGAGTGCAAAAAGAGAACACATACCTTAAGCAAAACCTCTACTATGCTGGCATGGCCCTCAGAAGCTGCCATGTGTAATGGCGTTCGGTCCACTTTGGTTCTCGCATCCCTGCTTACACCAGCTCGGAGTAGTACTTCTGTGGTGGAGTAATGCCCATACTGTGCTGCCAGATGAAGTGGAGAGGTTCCCAGCTATAGAGAAAGAAAAAATATCCACGTTTATGAACATTTTTAATATACTTCTATTACTATCTTCTAGTTTATATTTTGTTAACATAACAAACAGATTATATTATCTGTTTACAGAGTAACTCAAAACTCAAGAAAATAATTTATGCTTACCACATTTTCTTTACAGAGACCTTCAAGAATTCCCATACATTTCTCGATGAGGAAGAAAAGTCAGAACTTCATTTAATTCAAACATACTTTTTAATTTTTTAACAGATAAATAGCATGAACAAAATTAATTTCATCAGGAATTAGAGATAATTAGGGTTTGAGAAATTTTTCTGAGTACTGGAATGTTTTCTGCATACCAATCACACAAAACTAATTTTCATCTATGAAATTCATATCAAATAAATATAATACATAGATTTTGCATTAAACTGTTTTTATAGAACTTAAAAAATAAATTTATTAAAGCAACTCAGTTATCTTTTCAAAGAAGTTCATATAATCATTTTTCAAGGGAAAAACCTGCTGAGGTATACTTGCCAAAGCTAAGACAGGACAGACCCAAAACAGAGCACAGTTCCCCTGAAACTGGTTACCTGTGGTATAGCCACTACATTAACACTAAATTCACAGTATGCAGGGGATGTACTAAAATATAAGTGAAGAAGAGCCTTATCAGAGGCATACATTTTAATAGGTGAAAATCAGAATTAACTTACATGCCATTTAGAGGCATAGAAAGTCCCTATTAATTCTGATTACCAAAGCACTGATGTTCCAAAGAACCAAGATAGTTCACTAGAACATGAAATTTGTGAAGATCACTACTATAAAACAGCAAGTAAGGTTTCTGTAAAAGCATTTTCCATGGCAAGCACTATTCAAGAGTTTCTTTGGGGAACATTCTTTTTTTTTTATTTTTATTTTAGAAAGAGAGAGCATACACACGAGTGAGGGAAAAAGAGAGAATCCCAAGCAGACTCCACATTCAGTGAGAAGCCAGATGCAGGGCTCAATCCCTCAATCCTAGGATTAGGACTTGAGCTGAAATCAAGAGTCAGACCTGCAACTGACTGAGCCACCTGGGTGTCCCAATTTGGGAAGTATTCTTATAAGTTCAATGGCTACATCACAGACTATGTACATTTTCAAATTTACTAAGCACTTGCCAAACTGTCCTCCAGAATGTTTATACCCATTTACACATATCCTCACCAATGTCTGAGACTGCTAAGCTTTTTTGTCTCATCTGCTAGATATGTAATAGCATTTCATAATTATACTTTGCATTTGCCTAATTATTAATGTAGTTGAGCATCTTTTCACATTTATTGGTCATCTAAACTTTCTCTTTGGTGAAGTACCTTAACAAATCATTTGCCCCGTCTTCTTTGCCTTGTGTGTCTTTTTTATTGCTGTCATGGGAATTCATTATGTATTATGGATACTAACCCTTCTTAAGATCCTTTGGTCTGTGGGGTGCCTGGGTTGCTCAGTCGGTTAAATTTGACTCTTAATTTCAGTTCAGGTCATGATCTGACAGTTTGTGGGTTTGAGTCCCACATCAGTGTCAGTGTAGACTGACAGTGTGGAGCTTGCTTGGGATTCTCTGTTTCCTTTTCACTCTGCACTCCCCTACTCCCATGCACACACTCATCCTCTCTCTCTCCATCAAAAATAAACATTAACAAAAACTTTTTTTAAAGACCCTTTTGTCCTGATACACTATACTATTGCTATGATGTGTTTAGATATATTTTTTTTAATTTTTTTTTTAATGTTTTATTTATTTCTAGGAGAGAGAGACAGCGTGAGCAGGGGAGGGTCAGAGAGAGAGGGAGTCACAGACTGAAACAGGCTCCAGGCTCTGAGCTGGCAGTCAGCACAGAGCCCGACGCGGGGCTCGAACCCACGAACCGCGAGATCATGACCTAAGCGAAAGTCGGACGCTTAACCGACTAAGCCACCCAGGCGCCCCAGATATAGATTTTCTTAACTGATCCTCCTAGAGATTAGTTGAACTACTTGAATCTGAGCTGCCATCTTTCACCAGTTCTGGAAGAATTCTCATCATTATCTCTTAAAATTATTTCATCCCTCTTCTCACTCTCCTTGTGGATTTTTGATCAGATATATTAGACTTTTGCATACCAGCCTTCCTGACTTCTGAGATCTTAAATTTTCTATTTTTCTGCACTGGATTTTTTCATTTCTTTCAGTTATTAACCTTCTCTTTAGCTGTTCATAAGCTATTAAAATCTTATCTAGAGGGGTGCCTGGGTGGCTCAGTCAGTTAAGCATCCAACTTCTTCTTCTTTTTTTTTTTTTTTTATTTCTAGGAGAGAGAGACAGTGTGAGCAGGGGAGGGTCAGAGAGAGAGGGAGACACAGACTCTGAAATAGGCTCCAGGCTCCGAGCTGGCAGTCAGCACAGAGCCCGACGCGGGGCTCGAACCCATGAACCGCGAGATCATGACCTAAGTGAAAGTTGGACACTCAACCGACTAAGCCACCCAGGCGCCCCAGCATCCAACTTCAACTCAGGGCAGGATCTCATGGTTCGTGGGTTCGAGCCCTGTGTCAGGTTCTGTGCTGACAGCTTGGAGTTTGGAGCCTGCTTCAGATTCTCTCTCTCTCTCTCTCTCTCTCTCTCTGCCTTACCCCTACTCACACTCTGTCTCTCTTTCTCTTTCAAACATAAATAAGTATTAAAAAAATTTTTTTTAATAAAAATCAAGCAAGCAGGCAAGGAAGCAAGCTCAGGTCATGTGAAATCAAGCCCCACATCAAGCCCTGCGTCAGACTCCAAGCTAACAGCACAGTGCCTGCTTGGGATTCTCTCTCTTCCTCTCTCTCTCTCTCTGCCCCTCCCCTGCTCACATGGGCACATGCGAGCATGCTCGCTTGCACACTCGCTCTCGCTCTCTAAATAAATAAATAAATAAACAAGCAAATAAATCCTTGGCAGTCTGCTTCTGGTACTAGTTGTTTCAGTGAATTATTGTCCAAGTTGCCTGTGTCCTTGTGCATTTAGTTATTTTTGACTGTTCATTTTCTTTGGAATTTCATTTGTGGATACTACGATGAAGGTAGGTTCCCCAGAAAGAATATTAATTTGCTTCTTCCAGGAACCTGGGGTAACCTCAGTCCAAAAATCACATTTTTCAGTGTACAGCTTTGCAGAATGCACAAGAACTTATGAGTTCAGGTGACAAATGTGTCCAAGGGATGCCTGTGATTCCAAATCCTCATCAGTATATTTTTTTCTTTCCATTTGGTGACGTGTTCCAAGTCAGTTTATTTTCCTCTCAGTACCCAAAGAACAGGGCAAGGGCAGGGGCAGGGGCGGAACCAGGTAGGAAGAGGGGGAGGGTATTTCTGACTTATGCTTACACAGAAGGTGCATCTCTTTGGGATTCCAGAATTATGAGGAGAGGATTTCTTAGGCGACTTCTATGAGCAGTCTCAGGTCTCTGTCTTCAGTAACCAAGTGACGTTGACAACCAACAGGTAAATTCGCTGAGTTTAGCTATTTTAATTTTCTTAGGGTCAAAATTCTCTGGGTTCTGGTGTTCACTTAGTTTTTCAGGTTAATAATTCCTTATTTTCTTTTTTTGTAATTTTTTTCTAACATTTATTATTGAGAAACAGAAAGAGGCAGAGCATGAGCATGGGAGAGGCAGAGAGAGGGGGAGGCACAGAATCTGAAGCAGGCTCCAGGCTCTGACCTAGCTGTCAGCACAGTGCCCGACATAGGGCTCGAACTCACAAACTGTGAGATCATGACCTGAGCCGAAGTCAGACGCTTAACCAATGGAGCCACCCAGGGGCCCCAATAATTCCTTATTTTCTTTCTAACTCATTAGTGCAGTAAAGAAGATTTTTTTAAACAGTTAATCAAAAAAGTCTATCATTTAAAGAGACAGATGCTGAAATATTTATGGATGAAATAAATTACTTCATGGAATTTGCTTTAAAATAATACAGAACAAAAAGTGGATGAAGTTATAGAGGAAGCGAGATTCATCGTGATTTGGTAATTTTTGAAGTTGGCTGAAAGGTATGCAGGGACTCAAAAATGTTTGAAATATTCCATAATAAAAACTTTTTTGTTTTATTTTGTTTTTTATGAAAAATATAAAAGAATAGGACAAGTAGGCAAGAAACAACAAAATAAAAAATCTGGAATTTTTAGTTGTTCCCAGTTAGGCAGATTAATCCAGATTCCTAACCCTTCATAATCCTAAAACCGTCTCTTTTGACTTACCCCAAGAATTAAGTACAGTTATAGTTTTTGTCTTCCTCACAATTGCCTTCTGTACTTACTAGGAACATGTTCCCCCCACTCCTTTCTTCCTCTTTGGTCATGTTTGCAATAGTGTTACAAGTATCAATTGAAATACAAATATTTTTCCTTTTTAAAAGCAATTATGACATTAACCTCAATCTTTATCTGTTCTTTTCTGAATTATAAATTCTACCTGTGCTATTTATGAGCTTTAAATTAAATTCCAAGCAGCTACATTTTATATTCAACCTACAATATTGAACTCCATAGTTTAAAAGAAAAACAGTTTTGTGGACAGAATATCTGGATAAGGTTGTCATATATATATATGACATAAAGATACAAATCATTTCCTTTAAATGACAGCTATAATTCTAAAAGTACAAATTTGCAAAAAAATTTTTGTTACATATAAATATAATACTGAATTTATCTAGAAAAAAACTAAACAGAAGGAGGGGGTAGGGGGATGGAGGGGGTTGGCGGAAGGGGAGGGAAAGGAGGAGGAGGAGGAGGAAGAGAAGGAGAAGGAAGAGGAAAAAAAGGAGGAGGAAGAAAAGGAGGAGGAGGAGGAGGAGGAGGAGGAGGAGAAAAAGAGCACATTAAAATCATTTTTTACCCAGTCTGTAGTAAAAGGAGCTCCATTTGCCATCAAAATACGAACTTCATCATCTTGACCTGCTCGTGCTGCTTCTAAAAGCTTCTTTCCCAAATCTACCAGGGACATCTAAAGAAAACAAAGATGAACTTAACATCCCTCTTCATATATTATGACATGATTATTTTTCTTGTATTTTTATTAATACCATTTCTCAAGTATCCCTCTAAAAGTCTGTGAAGTGGTTAATCTGCAACTACAGATCACACAAAAGCAATTTATACTTGAATTTTGGGAACATATATTTCCTTTCTCATTAAGTTTTTACCTAGCACAGTAAAATTAGTTTGGATTCTCCAAATATAGCTGGTAAAGACAGGTGAGGTAAGCAGCAGAGAAGGCTTGTCTAATACTCAGGACTGGCAAGAAACTGTTTTCACTGGAGTAGCCACAGCAATTAAGTTTTTCATAAAAGTAAACAGAAATAAGGTACAAGATACCATCCTCTGTAGCTGATCCAAATTAAAACAAATATGTCATGGGGCACCTGGGTGGCTCGGTCAGTTAAGCGTCGGGCTTCGGCTCAGGTCATGATCTCACGGTTCGTGGGTTCAAGCCCTGCATCAGGCTCTGTGCTAACAACTAGCTCAGAGCCCGGAGCCTGTTTCAGATTCTTTATCTCCCTCTATCTCTGACCCTCCCCTGCTCACGCTGTCTCCCTCTCTCTCTCTCTCAGAAATAAATAAAACATTAAAGAAATTTTTTTAAAAATAAAATAAAATAAATATGTCATAACAGCTTTTTGCAATGGTAAATTAGTAGATGTGTTCAGAACTTAAAAGTAATATTTTCAGTCACTGCACAGTCTATATACATTCAAGTTCTTCCAGAAAAGGACACAATTCACATTCAAAGAAAATGCTGAAAAGAAAGCTGAACGGTATTATCATTAGACTACATGTCTCACTGAGGAGCTAGAAAGTTAAGTATACTTTGTATCTTATATTCAAGATACCTGAAAAGACTAATGTCACAGGCCAGGGTGTGTAAAAGTGTGTAGGGGTGTGGGCGTGGAGGTATGTGGGGAGTGTATCTTCTTGAATAATAAATACTGAAATACATGTTAGGGGAAAATCACAGAAGAGTACATAAGAAAGATTTAAATGTATCAGAGATGCTCAAATTCAAGGGATGATAGTTCTGAGGAGAAAAAAGTCCCAAATTCAGAGACTATTCAACTGGAAAACTATTCAATGATGCTGACATAGTATCCTGAGGATAGGCAAACAGGTAGAGTTTGAGGCCTAGGAGGAAGGGAAGATATTGAACCCCAGAGATTTACATGAGGAAAAATGTGCCTGTGGTATGAATTTGCCTCAATAAATGAATATCCTTTGAGAGTTGGGTAAGTAGTCAATGGGAAAGAAGTTCTAAGAAGGGGATGTTAGGTTGATTAGTGTATTCCAATCTTGTATGAAGAGGTATTATTCAAGAAGGAGGGCAGGGGTACCTGGGTGGCTCAATCGGTTAGGTATCTAATTTTGGCCCAAGTTATGATCTTGTGGTTTGTGGGTTTGAGCCCCGCTGGGCTCTGTGCTGACAGCTCAGAGCCTAGAGCCTGCTTCAGATTCTGTGTCTCCCTCTCTTTCTGTTGCTCCCCTACTCACACTTTGTCTCTATTTCTCAGGAAATGAATAAACATTAAAAAAAAAAAAGATGAAGGAGGGGAGAGGACTATGTACATGCATACTTCCAGATGATTGAGACACCTGGGTATCTTTTATGAAGTAGTGGTTTAGGGCTTTTTCTCCTTTTTGGAAACTGGGTTGTCTGCCCTTTTCTTAATGATTTCTAAGCATTCATAACATATATTCTGAATATGGGTCCTTTGTCAGATACAATATTTATTATAAATATCTCCCTCCAGAATCCTGATTTCTTGACTCTCCACCCCTTTCTTTTTCTTTGATATATCACATACTATCTTCTATGGGTAGATAATGAAACTTCAATGCATTAAAAAATAAAAATAATTTAAAAAAACAGCAAATGTTTGCCACAATAATGAAAGTAAGAGACACTAATGCTTTAATTATGCAAAAGGTCTGATTCAAAATGAAAAGGGAAAGAAAATAAAGGCCATGGGCACGCCTGGGTGGCTCAGTTGGTTGGGCGGCTGACTTAGGCTCAGGTCATGATCTCACGGTTTTTGGTTTCGAGCCCTGCGTCGGGCTCTGTGCTGACAGCTAGCTCAGAGCCTAGAGCCTGTTTCACATTCTGTTTCCCCCTCTCTTCTCTGACCCTCCGCTGCTCACGCTATCTCTCTCTCTCAGAAATAAATAAAACATTTAAAAAATTAAAAAAAAAATGAAAATAAAGGCCATGAACCCAACAGAACAACAAAGGAAATGACCATATATTTTCCAAAAGAGAAATCAGAAATAATTCATAAGCATAAAAAATGTTCAGTGTCACGAACAGTCAAATAAATGTAAATAGTTTAAAAGTAATTTCTGATACAATCAAGGATGAGTTTAGACTGACACTTCCATATATAGTGACATCTATGTTGATAGCAGTATAAAGGGATCAGTTTTTAAATGTCAATTTGGCAATACATAGAAGTTACCAAAATGTTCAAGCTTAATCACCCAATAAATGATCCCACTTCTGAGAATAAAATAAAAATATACTGAAACAGATCTATCACTACATGTGTTACAAGTAAATCTACATATATATTATCACATTTTTACCATGTGAACAGAGTAGGAAAATTGTGGAATCTAAAAAGAATATGCAGCAACTTAAAATAATAGTTGAAAGCTACATAATAACATTAAAAGGATATGCCACATTAAGTAAAAAGATACAAAACCAATTTTTGAAGGTCAAAATACACAGATAGAGAACAAAACACAGGAAAATATTGTTAGTGATAAGATTATGGGAAATTTTGCCTTCATTTTACAAAATTTCTATAATGTCGCTATATTATCTTCCTAAATCAAAAGTGTTGTGGGGTTTTTTGTTTTGTTTTGTTTTTTGTAGTGGCTCAGTCAGTTGAGCATCAGACTCTTGATTCTGACTCAGGTTGTGATCTCACTGGTTCATAAGATCAAGCCCAGCCCTGGACTCTGCATTGACAGCACAGAACCTTCTTGGGATTCTCTCTCTCTTTCTTTCCCTTTCTCTCCCTCCTCCCCTGCTCACACATGCATGGCTCTCTTTCTCACACACTCTCAAAATAAATAAACATTTAAAAAAAGTTTTTTTTAAGGGACAAATTACATTGTATGACTATCAACTAAGTGAATGCTAACATTAAGGAAAGTTATATACTACTGACTTACTAAACAGGAAGAGTGGAAAAAATAAAGAAAATGTTGGTATTGGGTACCTAAAGTAGTAAACTTACTGATCTGCTTACAAGATTTACAAAAAAACAGTGATGCATTTGAATAAATCAACTTCTCCCATAATTCATGATTCTGTAATTGTCTTAGTTATTCAAAACATATCATATTTAAGGACTCAGGATACTTAAGTTATTGTGGTTTTAAAATCCCATGAGCAGGGCTCCTGGGTGGCTCAGTTGAAAGCACCCGACTTTGGCTCAGGTCATGATCTCATAATCTACATGCTGGAGCCCTGCATCAGGCTCTGTGCTGACAACTCAGAGCCTGAAGCCAGCTTCAGATTCTGTATCCCTTTCTCTCTGACTCTCTCTCTCTCTCTCTCTCAGAAATAAACATTAATTTTTTTTTTAAATAAAATAAAACTCTATGAGCAACTTTGCTGTATAGTAGATAAATGTAGCTGGATACTTTTGAACCAGTGGGTCTCAAAATGGTAGCAGCAATGGCCCCTAGAGGGCCCTTTGGATATATATGGAGGCATTTTGGGGATTGATGCAGGGCACAGTAGGGTGAAAGCTCTACTACCATTTAATGGGCAAGGGTCAGGGATATTAGAGGTTCAGCAATTCAGGAAACAATTCTGTATGGCAAAGAATTGCCACATGTTCTGGGTGACTTTCAAAAGCTCCACTGAATATATCTAAGGATAGAACTTAACTAATATGTAAATAAAATATATTTTTCCACAGTTTATAATGTAGCCCAAATTTCTCAGAGGGCAACCATACAATAAATCTATTTGTTTTGTTCAGAACTTACTAAGAATTGTTTACCATTTTGGAAAATCATATCATCCATGTCAATACCACTTGGGTATCTGGAATCACCAATATAAAACACTATCAATCAAGCTTTCACAGCTATCATTCATAGTGACTCTACAAATGACTCCATAGGTGCAAGCATTTGACAATCTCTTGTGTCATTTAGAGTAGTCTGCCTGAGTATTTACATTCTGATATATACATTTTATTATAAATTGCTTTCCTTCCATTTCTTCTTTATAATTAGGTATTATAATGACCTTCTGAAATTATGTAGGTAAGTAATAATAACCATAATTTTCACTTCAAGTGAGCGAAAGGGACAATACAAAACATTTTTTATAGAAAGACAGCAACAGATCTAAATAACATTGGAAAACCAAAGGAAGAAAATACATAGGAGATATGTATAGGGGAACACCACAGAGTAATTCTAACCCTCAGAGGAACTCAAATGCATTAAGACAATAAATTGACCTAGGGACCATAGCTCCAGAGAGCCCCCTCAATTTACTTTGTTCATTAATTATTTATTTATTAAGTCCTCAGAGATAATGTATTAAATTTACATAAAACCATTAAGGATCTAGCAACAAATGTTGCTTTTTTTGGTATGGCAAATAACTTTCTCCTAAGGAAATAAAGAAGCATAATTCAATTCAGTAAATTTTAATGAATATTAAATATACTTACTAAAAATACACTGTATGTATGGTACTGAATGCCATCCACATTAACACCCCTTTCCTCTTGAAAAGAAAAGTAATCCAAAACCCACTATAATAAATTCCATCCTTAGTTTTTTTTACTACTTCTGTAAAAGCCAATCACAATCTAATACAAAACCATTTTTTTAACTTTAATAATACGAATTTTAATAAGATCTATAGGACAACTTCAAAATGTCTACAAACTAGCTACTTTTTGCTCAAAACTACATGCTGAGAGAGCCATCTAGTGGTAACAAGAATTACTAGCTATAATTCCATTTTTAAAGCTTAAAGTCTATTTTGTTTTAAATTCCTATAATTCATAGCTCACACAGCTATTTTAAGGATTATAACATCTACTGGACCTGAAAACTCTCTATGAAACTGTAAAGTACTAGCTCCATGTGAACTGTTACTAGTGCTTAAAAAAGAATATGAATGCATTTAGAAAATATAATCCTATCACAATATACTTAATAAACCTTGACTGCCTAATTAAAAACTTCAGAATAAACTTACAATAGCACACCTATGCTCAGTGAAAACAATTGTAAATCCAATGAAAGTTTTCTAAAGTTTTTCATCCAAGCAATTTAGTACTATATATGAAAATGATCATACTCTTTGACCAAATAATCCCACTCATGAATCTATTACAAGGAAACTATCTGGAACATATATATATTAATAGTAATGTTATTTAAAATAGGTAAAACTGAAATACCTTACTACAATCAATAGTTAAAGAAATTAAGATAGATCATAATGGAATTGTGCTTTTTAAACACTTTTTATTATGGGAAATTTTGAGCAGATAAACAAGAATAGACACAATAGTATAATGAATAGCCATCAACTAGCTTCAATATTATCAATTTGTGGCCAGCTTATTTCCCACCCACACATATTATTTGAGCATCATATCATTATATTATAATATAATATAATATATATAATATAATATTATTAGACATATCATTTTATCTGCAATATTTCAGTATGTATGTATAAAATATAAAGATACCTTTTAAATACAGTACTGCAGTCATTTGAGAATATTATTTATAAATGATATGCAACAGTAAAAGCATGTAAACTGTGACTATAATTAAAATTAAGTAATTACAGTTGTGTGTAACTGTATGTAGGAAAATATCCTTGGGCATGAGAATGTAGTTGCCTACATTCTCAAAAGAAAATAACACTGATCATAAAAGTAGCACTTGGCATCTTGATAAATCTTTATCTACATTGTCTCAGGTAATCTAAACAGCCTTACCACAGTGGTTATCGCTTCCATTTTGCAAAGGAGACAGACAAAAAGTAAAAGGATTTACCAAAGAACACTAGTTTTAGTCTAAGGAGAAGACCCATATTTCTTAACTCCTGTGTTCTAAATTAGAGAACACTGGGAATCTGCTGGGATATAAAAGAACATGCCCTTCAAATCTTGTGCAATTCCTTTGAAGAAAAAATAATCACATGAACTCTGGTATATTTGGATTTTTCTCCCATTCCTATTTTGTATACTGGGGTTTTTTTTTTTTTAACTTTCTTTTAACTTAAAAATAAAATGACACTTTCAAACATAAAACATCTAAAGAAAAATTGTCTCCCATAAAGACCCTTATTTCAGAAAGCCACTAGATGCAGTCCTCCAAGACCAGGAGTAAACCAGAAACCAGAAACCAAGGAAATAAGGGATCTAACACAGAGTGAAGAGGATCCCCAAGATGATGGTATCGGAGATCCCAAGATGTGCTGGACCAGAGACCTGGAAAGTAAATCCAGATTGGAGCCAGGGGACAGATGTTCCAGAAGGAGGTCTTCAGGGAAAAGCTAATAAGACTCCCAGGAAAAAAGTGAGATTTCCTGTGGGGATTTGAGATGGCTTAATGATGGATACAAGAAAAGTAAGCAAAAGGAAAAACTACACAATTTCACTTTGAGAGGGAAGGAAAAAAGCCTATACAAGAAAGAAAATGTAACCCCAATATGGCACGGGTTGGTGAAGAATGGTAGTCTCAGGATTATAACAACCACTACATACTAATCCAGGCAAAATTTTTAGTGCACTTCTATTAAGATGAAGAGTGACAAAAAATATGCTTAGAGGTGGTTTGATTTAAGATAGCCAAAGCTTCATCTTCATAAATAGGAAGTCAAAGATAACTAAAATAGAAAAATCAGTAAATAGTATAAGGTTGGTATTTAGAAATATGGAGGGAAATACTAGGGGGAAAAAAGTGAAAGGAAAGAATGGATATTTCTGGGAAAGAGGGTTCCGAGTGGAAAGAAATAACACAAGGGACTCCAGGGTTATTGTTTTGTTTGTGTGTGGTTTGTTTCTTTCACTATAAACCTTATATTTTTTACTTTTTCAACTATGTACATGTATGCTTTCATAATAAAATCATAATGAACTAATTTTCACTGTATATTAAAAATGTAACATTCAAATTCAAAGTCATCCCCATACTTCCCTGTGGTCTTACCCCCAAGAAGTAACTATTTAAATATTTAGTGTGTAGCCTTCCAGATCTTTCCTATGCCTACAAAAACACATACAGGCACAACACTTCTTTTTAAACAAACAAAAAACACAAAAAGGTTTTGCAACTTGCTTCTTTTCACTTAACAGGGATACCCTTGTTTTATCAGTAGCATCTAAGCGCACACACAGATAAAACATTCTTTTTACTGGTTGCATAGTTTTACGAAGGGTGATAGGCTGAATAATGGCCCCCACAAAGATGTCTAGACTTAATTCCCAGAATCTGTGAATGTTAGCTTACATGGCAAAAGGGACTTTCCGGGTATGATTAAATTAAAGATTTTCAGATAGGAAGATCTTGGATTATCTAAATGGGCCTAATGCAATCTGAAAAGTCCTTATAGGAGGGAGACAGGAGGATCAGGATGAGAGAGAAGGTTGCAGAGATCACAGAGAAGAGAGAGAGATCTGAAACTGCTATAGCTGCTAGCCCTGAAGATGGTGGGAGGAGGGTGCTGTACCAGCCAAGGAAATGCAGGCAGTCTTTAAAAACTAGAAAAGGAAAGAAAACAGATCCTCCCCTGGAACCTCCAGAAGGAACACAATCCTGCTAAAATCTTAATTTTGAGTTTTCAGACTTCCATAACTGTAAAATAATAAATTTATGTTGTTTTAAGGCACTAAGTTTGTGGTAATTTGTTACAACAAATAGGAAACTATTACAGTACAGAAATAGGAAACAAATATACGGAGTATGAGTACATTAATTATTCAATTCTGTTTTCATTTTTCATCTTTACAAACCCATATGCTTGGGTCAGCACTTTTATAAAAACTATTCTAAAAATAGAACTGCTAGGAGTGCCTGGATGGCTCAGTTGGTTGAGTGTCCAACTCTTGGTTTCAGCTCAGGTCAAGATCTCACAGTTATGGGATCAGGCCCCACTTTAGGCTCCTCACTGAGTGCAGAGCATGGAGCCTACTTGGGATTCTCTCTCTCTCCCTCCCACTCATGCTCTCTCTCTCTCTAATTAAAAAAAAAACTTAAAAAAATTTTTAAAAAGAGTAAAATTGCTAGATTTTTAATATCACATTAAAATTTTTTTTTAATGTTTATTTATTTTTGAGAGAGACAGAGACAGAGCATAAGTGGGGAAGGGGCAGAGAGAGAGGGAGACACAGAATCCGAAGCAGGCTCCAGGCTCCAAGCTGTCAGCACAGAGCCCAACATGGGGCTCAAATTCACGAAATGTGAGAGATCATGAGCTGAGCCGAAGTCAGATGCTTAACCGACTGAGCCACCCAGGCGCCCCTACAGTCACATTTTAATTGTGATAGATACTACCAAATTATCTACCAAAAAATTATACCAATTTATACTCCCACTATCAGTATAAAATAATGACTACTTTCTCCCAGTCCCCAAAGCCAGAACCTTGATTCCAGATCTAGATCTTTCCAAAGTTAAGATCAAGGACCCACTGAACTCATATTCAGAAAGCTGATGAAAAACAAAACAAAACAAAAAACCCAAACTTCCTTCCAGAATAACTTTTCTTGAGAAAATGTACCTGAAGAAATCTCACTACCACACAGGGAGAGCACAACACACAACTGCTTTAACATCTTTAAAGCCTTCTATTAAAAAGGGATTCTTTGCTTCCAACTGGGAATCAGGGGGAAAGGGGATTCTCATGCCATTTTTTTCCACCCACTTTTCAGTGAAAGCCTGGTTAAAAACCATCTAAGTTCACATTAAGTTTCATAGAGGGAACCTTCCTTCTCTGGGAAACTTTTCCTTCTCTGGTACCTACCTATCTTGTCCAAATCATGAGCCCCCATCAGACTCACCATTTATTAAATGATGATAATTCCTAACATTTATATAGTACTACACATACACATATAGTGGATATAATAAAGTATAACACAGCCATACGTGTATGTGTATGTATATACAGAGAGAGAGAAAACAACAAGAGAGACTGTGCCAGACACAGTCTAAGAATTTACATATACTAATTCATTCAATTTCACAATACCTTCAAGTCGGAATTATCATCATCATCATTGTAATGCTAAGAAAACTGAGGCACAGAAGGTTACATGCCCAAGGTCATACTGCTAGAGGGGATTTGAACCAAGGCTGTCTGCCTCCAGAGTTCATACTCACAATGCATGCAATACACATACTATGGAATATACCATCATCTGAGTCCTTCTAGTGACCACAGGCTAGATGTCCCCACTGAATGCATGCACTACCGATGCTACTCCCTGGCCTAAACACTAACTACTACCTATATACACTTAACTTCACATAAAACTCAAGAGGTGGTACAATAAAACTTGGCACCAAATTAGATTCTGACTTACACTGGTCATCAAATGATTCATGCTTATGTGTCTTACTTAAATTATAAAATGCTTGGAGGCAAGGATGGTAGCTTATGTCTTTCAAGTGGATTCCTTTTCTCTTCCCCTTAAATATTAGCAGTTCCTCGGTGTATCATTTTTCAGCCCTCTTTTTATTTCTCTACATTCCCTCCTCTAGCAAGTTTATCTTTCTTAGCCAAGATTACCTGATGACTTCCAAATCGATCTTCAGTCCAAGCCTCCGTCCAAGCACTAGACTCAAATATTCAACAGGATAGACACCTCCACCTGTAGATGTCAAGGCACTTTAAAAGTCAAGCTGTTCAAGTAGTGGCTTGTTCTGTAGATCAGAAAATTTTAAATCCTCCTTGACCCCTTTTTTCTACCCACTTCAATTCCAATGAGTCATTACGACCTGTCACTTTTACCTCCTAAATGTCTCTTAAATCTTTCCACATCTTTCCAATGCCTTCAATAAATACACGTTGACAGTATTTTCTCTCTGCCTCAATCTTTGCTCTTGTCTCTATCCTTTCTCTCCTACGACATCTGTAAATTAATGTTTATGCCTCAATCTTGTCTTTCTCTAATTTATTCTCCATTCTACTATCAAACTTCCTAGTCATTCTTAAATGAAATCATGCCCTTCCTCAGTTAACTCATCTGAAGTCAAATTCTTTGGGGCACGTGGGTGGCTCAGTGAGTTAAGTGTTGGACTTGGTTTTGGCTCTGGTCATGATCTCACAATTCATGAGATCAAGCCTCACGTTGGGCTCTGTGCTGACAACTTGGAGCCTGCTCGGGATTCTCTCTCTCCTTCTCTCTCCACATCTCCCCAGCTTGTGTGCACGCTCTCTCTCTCTCTCTCAAAAAAAAAAAAAAAGTCAAACTCTTTGCCATAAGAGTCCAGGCCTTTCATACTTGGCATCTGTTGCCATCACCCTACATACAGTACTCACTACCTGTCATACTGAATTCTATACTAGAGGGAAAATGCTGTGCTTCGCTCATTTTCTCACTGTTGGGCATCTAAAACATATTCCCTCTGCCAGGAAGAATATTCTCCTCTCCACACTCACTCTTGCCATATTTATTTCTACCTGTCCTTCAGAGTTCAGCTTATCTCCTCAGAGAAGCTGTTCCTGATCCCCCCAAAATTAACTGAAGTGTCCCTCCTGTGTATTCCCCAGCATATGAAGTTTCTCTCTATCATAGCATTTATCAGACCACACTACATGTGCCTGTTTACTTGGCTACAAGTTGTCACTGTGCCTGAATTATGGTAAATGCTCAACAAATATTCATTGAATAAATAAACATTTGACACACAGTAGAAACTCCAGAAATACCTGGGATAACCAACAGTCATAACCTTTAACTTTATAAATGCAAATTAAGCTGACAGTGCCACAAATTCTAAGAAATACCACAATCAATAAAATGCTTGCTGAATTCCTGTCAGCCTTGTTGTAACTAAAGTCCTTCCAAATGAATGAGATTGGAACTTGCCTGAATATTCTTTTTATTGGCAGCAACTCAAATTGACAGATTTGATTCAAAACAGTCCGAGGTCAGTTCTATGTTTTCTGAGGGAAAAGTGTGAACATAATCAGTAAATATGGATAGTGGCTTTGTCTGGGACCCTCAAAATCACTCTTGGACAGGAAGTCAGAACTTATAACCAGCAACAGGTCTATGAAGCAAGATCAGCTCATGACCACCCTCAGTGACAGTGGGTCAAATCAGTACCAAACTGAGTTCAAAGGTTTCAACTGAGTATGTTCTAGAAATGAGCTGTCCAGTACAGTAGCCACTAGCCATAATGATAATGGGCACTGAAATGTGGCTAGTCCAAACGGAGCTGTGCTGTATGTGTAACAAACCAGATTTCTGAAGACTTGGTACCAAAAAAGAATGCAAAATATCTCATTAATAACTTTTATATCAATTACAGGTTAAAATGGTAACATTTGGGATATATGGGATTAAATAAAATATATTATTAAAATTAATTTCACCTGTTTCTTTTTTTTTAATGTGGCTACTATAAAACTTTAAATATGCAGCTCACGTATTTCTGTTGGACAGAGTTATTCTAGAACCACTGGACAAAGCTCTTCTAGAACCATTTATCAAAACTTCTTGAAGGCACCAACTTTACAATTTACAAAAAGTTGCAACATTTTAAAATAAGATATAGGACATTCTCTTAGGGAAAAAAAACTGCATCTGATGAATTATCTCTGTTATAACACTGGATAAACTTTACCCTTAAAAACTACAGGAAGATATCCTCTGTCCTTAGAAGACTTCACAAACTCACCTGGGGATGAAGCTACCCATATTACTACATAAACTCTTCCATCTTTGCAACCCACTGCCCCTTTCTTTACCCCATTCAACTACTAGTCTCTTTTAAATCACATATATTTATCCCAGGAAGAGACTAAGGCTTAAAAAGAGTATAAGCAGAGAATGAAGAAAAGGCTAGAACCTACTAGAACCAAACCAGTAGTCGGTTTTGAATGAATAGGGAAGCATAACTTACCTGTTTTCTCTAAAGTGAAGCCAACAAATTACTGGGTGTTAGAAGTCGCAACAGTGAATCATCAGTATCCTACCTGACAATAAGAGCACATATATTTCAATTCTTTCTCTCCAAGATTTCTCATATTCATCCCTTCCTCTCTACTACCTCCAATCTTACACACTCATTGCCTCATACCTTAAACATCACAATAGCCTTTTAGCTGACCTAACCCTAATTTCTCATCCTGCTACCAGGCAATCCACTAAAATACAATTTCTTTCAACTCAAACATTTCTATATGAGTCTCTACACGGTTCTCAAAGAATTAATCACCTAATAGGGAAGACATACATTTCATAATTCTCTTGTCTAAAATCTTCATCAATACAACCATTTGAAGAACAAATTATCAATATCTAGCAGAGCTGAAGGTATGTCTACCCTGATCCAGGATTCCACTGCTAGAAAGCTGCCGTATCTCCTTAACATGTACACAAGGAGGGGAAACATGTATAGGAATGTTTACAGAAAGTTATTTGTAACAGAATTTTTATTATAAAATCTTTTAAATATAGAAAAGTATATTTGTTTGCATATAAATGAATATGTGTGTGTATACACAAACACACACACACATGCCCATCACCCACATTCTAAATTAAAAGTTGGCCATCTTGCTTCATCTTACTCCTTTCTAAAAAAATGTACTTTATAGCTGGCACATACTGCATTTGGTTGTTATAGCTCTAGATTAATTATATGTTAGGACAGTTTCCTCCCCCCAACTAACCTTGTTTTCCTCTTCCATGACATTAAATAGCCAGTTTATCTATATCTCACATTCTGTATTTTTCTGATTATTTCATCCAAGGTGGTGCTTAATTTCTTTCATCTCCCATATTACTTAAAAACTGAAAGTCTGAAAAGTTCGACTAAGCTCAGATTTTAAATGTTCTACAAAAATACTTCAGGGGTGGGGCGCCTGGGTGGCTCAGTCGGTTAAGCGTCCAATTTCGGCTCAGGCCATGATCTCACGGTTTGTGGGTTCGAGCCCCGCGTCAGGCTCTGTGCTGACAGCTCGCTCAGAGCCTGGAGCCTGCTTCAGATTCTGTGTTCCCTTCTCTCTCTGACCCTCTCCTGCTCACCCTGTTTCTCTCTCAGAAATAAATAAAACATGAAATAAAAATTTAAAAAAAAATACTTCAGGGGTGCCTGGGTGGTTCAGCCACTTAAGAGTCCAATTCTTGATTTCAGCTGAGGTCATGATCTCATCATTAGTGGGATCGAGCCCTGTGTCGGGCTCTGTGAGGACAGTGCAGAATGCGCTTGGGACTCTCTCTCTTTCTCTCAAAATAAAAAACTAAACATTAAAAAATACTTCAGTTGATGCAGTCTATTTGATATCGAATCACATATTTTTGGTTCATTTTTAGTGATGCCAAGATTAATAACGAGGCTGGTAACAGCTTGATCCTTCCACTGTAAATTTTAATTGTTTTGAGATCAACTAGTATTCTGTGGAGTGTTACTTTGGCACCATGCAAATACCAATTCTCAATGAACATTTTGCCTAACAATCTGAGCATCCATTAATGATCCTGGCCCAAGTTAAGTATTTCATAAAAGGCTGTAATAAATTGTGACTTCCTAATTCTATAATTCTTTCTATATTTATTATCTGGCATTCCTCACTAACTGTAAAACATTTCTACCAAAAAAGACAATTCAAATGTTAAATTACCAATTTTCAGAGTAAAGAATAGGCAATAGCCATCTCCAGTTTTCTTTTTTATTGTTATATGTTGTTTCAAATTACTCCCCTTATTCTTTTTTATGTTCAAACTGTCTCAATTTTGACCAAAAAGAGCTTCTTCAGGTAGGCTTTTGTTGTGTCTTCGAAAGCTTTCTTGCTTCTGGAGCAAATTGTTCCAGGTTCACTATGTACGTTCCCTGCCTCAGTCTTGTAATCAGTCATTTCTTCAATAAATAAATAGAAGTATTTAAAGACCAAAACTGAGGTAATACAAGTACTTGTCATCTACAAAAGTGACACACTTTCAAGGTCCTTTCAGAGGACAAAACTAAGAAAGAAATATGTATTTGGATGGAATTATGAAATACATATATTTTAAATCCTGAATTCATACTGACATTTATAATTCAAGTTCAACATTATAAATATTCTTTTTGCCTCACTCCTTTGATTTTATACTTGTATTTCTATTGGCTTCTAACATATAAGCATAAAATCTTATTTATTGGCTTTAACCTACAACATGCATCCAATGGTATCAGAATAAAAACACCAATATTACAACTAGCAATGAAATGAATGAAGATTTCTCTGCAGTTCTTTTTGTCCTTAGCATATATGCCTTTTGATATAGGGCTCAAAAGTCACTTGAGAGTGTGTGTTTTTCTCCATGTATTTAAATAACTATTTTGATATACAACAGGTTCATTTGTTCGTTTGTTCCCAATTTTAGAGACTGTTTTTATTTTCATTTAATTGTAACTTCTGAATGTGTAAAACATTTACATAATTCAAAAGTCAAAACTAAACAGGAACCTCACTTCCATTCCTATTTCCTTCACATCATTCCCACTTCCTCCCTCCCCCTAACCCCAAGGTAACCATTTTATTAGTTTCTGGTTTGTCTTTTCAGTTTTTCTTTCTGCAACATAAACAAATATATATATTCTTACTTGCACACACACACTTGGTATACCAAGAGAGCATACTACACACACTGTTCTGCACTTTGCTTTTTTTTCTTCTTCATATATTTCCTGGAAAATTCTCCAAAGAGATTTACCTCATGCTATTTTACACCTACATAGAACTATGTGAAAATACCAGTTTATTTTTAAATAAAAACTAGTAATCTTTTACTTTCTAGCAAGTAAGTCAATAGACTTCACCTTATTATTATTAGTTCAAGGCCCTCTATCACCTGCTCTAACCTCACACCTTCACCTTGTCCACTTTTACTCCCTTTATGAACTCCCACTTCATAAAGGGCCCAGACAGCCATGAGATTCTAAACAATTCTTATTCGATATGTGCTCACCTTACTCCATACCCAATGCCTTCCCTCATGCTATTTGCCCAGTTTAGATGGCTACATTCCTTGTCTCCAAATCCTTCAATCAAAGCCCACTTCAAAAATTTCTCCTCTCCTATAAACTTTCCTTTTTTAAATTATTTTAATTTTTTTAATGTTTGTTTATTCTTGAGAGAGAGAGAAAGAGAGGGAGCACGAGCAGGTAAGGGGCAGAGAGAGAAGGAGACACAGAATCTGAAGCAAGCTTCAGGCTCTGAACTGTCAGTACAGAGGCCAATGTGGGGCTCTAAACTCACAAACCACAAGATCATGACCTGAGCCAAAGTCGGACACTCAACCAACTGAGCCACCCAGGTGTCCCTCCAATAAACCTTCCTTAAATGAGCTAATTCCTCAACAATCCTTCCCTTTAAATTTTCTCAGACATTTATGCCACTATCTATGTTTTCCCTTCATTCATTAAACAAATTTTTACTAAGCGTACGTGTGCCAACAGAAAGGTAAACAAAAACAAGTCCCTACCCTCATGGAGCTTGTGTTCCTGGGGGAGAGGCTAGCAATCAATCAATCAATCAATCACAGTGGTACTGGTAAGGGTAAATGCTATGAAGAAAATGTAAGGCAGAATAAGTAAAGAGAGAATACTGGATTAGAGATGGGGAAATGCCATTTTAGACAAAGCCTAAGAAAAGTCCTCTTTGAGGAGAGGACATTTGATTAGAAATGTGAACTAAGGGGGCGGGGCATGCCTGGGTGGCTCAGTCAGTTGGGCTTGGGCTCAGGTCATGATCTCACAGTTGGTGAGTTCGAGCCCCGCATCGGGTTCTGTGCTGACAATTCAGAGCCTGGAGCCTGCTTTAGATTCTGTGTCTCCCTTTCTCTGCCCCTCGCCGACTCACACTATGTATCTCTGTCTCAAAAATAAATAAACATGTTTTAAAAAATAAGAAATGTGAATTAATGAAGGAAGCAAAGCAAGGAAGGATTCCAGAGAAAAGCATCATAAAGGACAGGTCACTCTTTTGGCTCAGCATCAAAACATCTTCATATGTCCAAGGAATTCCCCTCTGATGAGTCCTGAAAGAAGCCAGAAATTTCTACCTACTAGTGAGGCTAAATATTTGCTTTTCCAGCTTCCCATGCATCTAGGGTGCAATTACATGACCTCCACTCCAATAAAGAAGCATCCATGATGGACTTTAACTTAGAAAATAATGCATAAAAAAGCAGTAAGTATATAGAATCCATTATGGCAAGAATGGAAGCAGATTCCAATGACACTGATGGTTTGTTTCTTCCTGAGACAAATTCCTTTTCTGCTAAATTAGCCAGACTGGTTTCCGGTTTTCAGAAGTAAGCTTTTTTTCTTAGGAACTAAGAATTCTGACTGCTCCTGGTGATCCAGGGAGATGACAGAGCAAGTATAAGGGCCCTGAGCTTGAGTGAAAAACAGTAGCAGGATAGGCAATTACAGAGACAGGAATGGGCCCCATCATGTAGGGCCTTATAGGCACTACTAAGAAGTATGGACTTCATTGAATTTACTAGGAAGTTGTTGGAATGTTTTAAACAGGAGAGTGTTGTGATATGATTTATAAGTATATACACAAGCACACATGCATATGGTCCACTGAGGCAGTTTATTTGCACATATGTATTATATTCCTAGAAAAAAAATTCCCAGGACTTTCCCTCCTGTGTGTTTTCATCTTCCTTCTTCATGGTCCATGATGCCAGATGAGATTAGTACAATGAAACTAAACTGGCAATATAGGAGCAGATTATTCTGCCATTTTTCTACATCTTTGAGTTGTACATCAAATCTGGGGCTGATAACTCCACAGTTTAACCCGTCCATGAAGTTCCCAACAGTTTTCCCAGCAATGTGATCATCAACGATTTCAAAATCAGCAATGTAACCATGCTTTATCATCACAGTTAGAAACCAGACAACGACTTTGGAGCATGGCCTGATAAAAATCTGGTGTTTGCCTCTCTTTTTGGCATTGTTAATGCTCTTGAGAGAATCTGCCAGGACATTTATGTGCACCATTACAGTGGCACGGAAAGACAGCAGAAGAGAGCTGATTTATATTTTTTAAAAATGACTCCTATTATTATATGGGTCATACATAGAGGGAGGCAAGAATTGAGGCAGGTATACTACTTAGGAAATTACTGAAGGCAAGAGGTGATGGTACCTTAGGCTAGGATGATACGTGTGTAATCATCTAATTTTTACCTTTAACTATTATATATCTAGGTTTAAATCTAGCATCTAATTTTGTGCTCTCTCCATTTGTTACCTGTTCCGTTTCTTTTCTCTGTCTTCTTTTGGACTGATTCTTTTTTAACATTTTATCTATTTCTTCTGATTTGGAAGTTATAGCCTCTAGTTTTGTTCTTGTCATGGTTCCCTAAGAATTATACCATGTGTTAAAAATCTAGAGTTAACCAAAATCTTGCTTTAAAAGACCCAAGCAGGGGCACCTAAATAGCTCGATCAGTTAAGCGTCTGACTCTTGACTTCAGCTCAGATCACGATCTCATGGTTCATGAGCTTGAGCCCTGCATTGGGCTCTCTGCTGTCTGCACACAGCCCACTTCAGATCCTCTGTCCTGCTTGCACTCTCTCAATAACAAACAAACACTACAGAGGCGCCTGGGTGGCTCAGTCAGTTGGGCGTCTGACTTCGGCTCAGGTCATCATCTTGCAAATCATGAATTCGAGCCCTGCATCTGGCTCTGTGCTGACAACTCAGAGCATGGAGCCTGCTTTGGAGTCTGTGACTCCCTCTCTCTCTGTCCCTCCCCTGCTCAAGCTCTGTCTCTCTCTGTCTCTCAAAAAATAAATAAATGTTTAAAAAAATTAAAAAATAAACATTTAAAAAAATAAATAAAGACCTAAGCAAGCATCAGTCAATGGCAATGCGTAGACCCTGTTTGGATGACAATTTGAAGAAACTAAATGTAAAATTTTTTAAATCTTTTTTTTATGGAGCAGTAAAATACTCGGTATGGTACCATAATGACAGACACATGTCATTATACATTTGCCCAAGTGCATAGAATATACAACATTGGTAATGAATCATAATGGAAACCATAGACTTTGGGTGACTATGATGTGTCAGTGTAGTTTCATCAATTATAACAAATGTAATACTCTGATGGGGGATACTGATAACGGGGGAGGTTATGCATATATGGGGCAGATGGTGTATAAGAAATACCTTCCCCTCAAGTTTGCTGTGAACCTAAAACTGACCTAAAAAAGTGAGTTGGTAAAAAAAAAAAAAAAATCATTTTGGATAGTTAAAGAAATACCTGAGAAAGTTTCCAGTTGTTAGATGTTCAGTACTCCCCTTTTTTGTTCCATAAGATATTTCAATAAATGTGAATGTTGCATTAAAAAACAAAACAAAAAAACTATCAGCAGTTGTGGGGAGCCTGGGTGGCTTAGTCAGTTAAATGTCTGACTCTTGATTTCAGCTCGGGTCATGATCGATAGGATCTGCGCTGGGTGTGGAGCCTGCTTAAGATTTATATTCTCTCTCTCTCTCTCTCTCTCTCTCTCTCTCTCCTCCACCACTCAAGCTTGCACTCTCTAAAAAATAAAAGAAAGGGGCACCTGGGTGGCTCAGTCAGTTAAGCATCCAATTCTTGGTTTCAGCTCAGTGTACAATCTCACAGTTTGTGGGTTCGAGCCCCACATCAGGCTCCACAATGATGGTGAGGAACCTGCTTGGGATTCTCTCTCTCTCTCTGTCCCTACCCTGCTAGATAGCTCACTCTCTCTCAAAATAAATTTAAAAACTTAAAACTTAAAAAATAAAATAAAATAAAATAAAATAAAATAAAATAAAATAAAAAAGAGGAGTATGTAAGAAACCAATTTAGTCTTGAGTTGATCATCATTGGTCAATGAATACATGAGGGGTTCATTATACTCTCCTTTGCTTTTACATATTTAAAGTTTTCCATACAAATGGTATTTTTAAAATTGACCCTCCTTCTACATAATACAAAGACATTAGAACCTAGAACTCTTTACTCTCCTTCTGCTATTGCTTTGTCTTTTAATCCATTAGACATTCTCACTGTTTTATGCAGTTAAGATTCATTTTCATTTTCCAAATATGTATCACTTTACTTTTCAGCCCTTATTACATTTCTTTCCTCCCATGTGGTATCAATTTCATTCTGCCCAAAGTATATCCTATAGAACTGCACTATGATGCATGTGGCTATTTATTTAAAACAGGGAGCTCCTGGGTGGCTCAGTAGGTTAAGAGTCCGACTCTTGATTTCAGCTCAGGTCGTGATCTCACAGTGTGTGGGTTCGGGCCCCACACTGGGCTCTGTGCTGACAGCTCAGAGCCTGGAGCCTGCTTAGGATTCTGTGACTCCCTCTCTCTCTCTGCCCCTCCCCCACTTGCTTGCTCCCTTGTGCACTCGCTCGCGCTCTCTCTCTCAAAAATAAACGAACATAAAAAAAATTGTTTAAAAAGAGAGGTCAGGGCTATAAGTATACTTTTGGGACCCATCAGCATATAAAATGGCATTAAAAGCCAAAGGAGTGGATGAGATCTTTGAAGCTCAGGAGCAAAGGTATACTGAATTAATGTACAAAGAACTGGTTTATTTATCACTTCAAATTTACCATCTGGGAACATCTTATATCTATTCATGTATTCCCACTTTTTATTCTACGAATTAAATTTTGTGGTATGTGCTAAAAACAACAAAACAAACAAACAAAAACATATATATGAGGTAAGAATCCATCTAAGCCCAAACTAGAGCCCCTTCCACGAATCCAGTATTTCTCAAACTGTGTTTCCTAAAGCTCCAGAGGACGGAGGTGCTGAGAAAGGCGGGGGATACTGGGGTAAGCATAGGTTGGAGGTGACAAAACAGTCTCACTCTCACTAAAGCAAAACCATTTCTAAGTGTTACAGGATTATACAGAGAACGTTATTTGTGTTTTTAATGCTTTTTTAAAAGAAAACTATTGCCAGCAAAATGTCTTTTCTTCAGATATAAAATGGTTAAAATTTTAAATCTCAAGCCAGAACTACTTAGCATCTCTATTGTACTGCTTGCTATTCCACACCCAAATCCTTATTAACATAAACCTAGAGAAGATTTACTACATTCATCTGCAAGTCCTGGCATGTATGTGCTTTATCTGTGCTCCTGTTTTATTTTTTACTCTAGACCAACAGAAATCAGGTAAAAGGTATATGGATAGATTAGGGCCTCAAAATTAGATTCTGAATTCTAACTCATTCAAATAAATTTTAAATCCCAAATTATATAGCATGAGCTTCTTTTTAGGCAGTACCCAGAATGTTGTGACTCCTTTTCTCCGTTAGGTTAAACTTCCTTATCTTATATACAGTTACTCCCAAGCATACTATATAAAAAATAACTTTCATGCTCTACTATAAGCTTGTCTAAACCAGTTTTAATATTGTTTTAAATATTACAGTATAATTTCAGGTACCCTAAAGATCACATCTTATACAAAGCTATGTTTATTTCTTTGAATTTCTGGTACCAAAAGATGTGATTAAATCAGAACCATGGTAATAAATTAAGTTCCTAATTCCCACATAAGCTATGTATTTATCAGATCTACATTCTCTATTTCCCTATCTACATTCTATCTGAGCATATCAATGTCCCTATTTAACTGTAAAATTATGAGGTCATTACAAAGCTGTTCTCCATAAAACCTAGAACACAAATGTAATCTAAGGATAAAAAATATTTATTGATGACTATTTAATATTCATGCTTAAAATAAGCTCAAGTTCCTTATCTGAAACACATAAATTATACACACATATACAAATACACTCAAACACTAAACTAAGAAGGTGTAAGGATTCATCTAGACATTCAGTCCAGAGCTTCCCATGCATATGCCAAACCCTAATCTTCCTGATGTTGCTACTACCTTTTTTACCTCCCAAATTGGAAATCTGAGAGCTATCCTTAACTTCCTGCTCTCCCTTATGTCTCTACACACAACTGGTCATCAAATACTATAGGTCTATTTCGCATCTATATTTCTCTTAATTTCTTTTTTCTCAAACAGGCAATAGTTTCACATAGCTCAAAAATCCAAACACAAAAATGTATGCATTGAAAGTCTCAATGGAAGTATTTACACTATTACCATTCCCAAGAGCCACAAATAATCACCTTTAATAGTTTCATGAGTATCCTCCCACTATTTCTATTATTACCAAAAGATAGCATTACTACATACACTGTTCTCCACTGCCTTTTCTTACTTAACACATCCTGGAGATCTTTTCCTATTAGTCCACAGACAGCTTCCTCATTTTTTGTACAGCTGCTTAGTATGGTATTGTGTGGATAGGTCTTAGTTTATTATGGATGGACACTATTACTATTATAAACAATACTGCAACTAATAACTGTGTGAATATATCATTTCATTTAACTATAAATTCCCTGAAGTAAATACAATTGTAATGTTGATACACATTATGAAATTACCCTCATGTCATTTATAAATTAGTCCTCTTCTCTCCCCTGTCTTTGCCACTGCATTCTCATGACTACTTTTAATTTTTTTTTTTTTAACATTTATTCATTTTTGAGAGACAGAGTGCCAGCAGGGGATGGGCAGAGTGAGAGGGAGACACAGATTCCGAAGCAGGCTCTGGACTCTGAGCTGTCAGCACAGAGCCTGATGCAGGGCTCGAACCCACAAACTGTGAGATCATGACCTAAGCCAAAATCAGATGCTTAAAGGACTAAGCCACCCAGGCGCCCCTCTCATGCCTATGTTAATGAAGTACCTCCTTAACTGGTTTCCTTCAGTCCCAACCATTGTCCATCCTATTGTCAACTGATTATTATTATTTTAATGAATTTTTAAATATACACTGTAATATTCTAATTTTTAAATTTTAAAGATTACTGAAAAAGCTTCCCTCCAATTGTCCCTCCCTCTCTCTCCTCCCCAAACCCAATCCTCTATCCATCACCCAAGAGTTAAGCATTTTATTACCA